TCTCTTCCAGGCACACTTTATCCCGAGAATCTGTGCTTCTGTGGCGGACAATGCGTGCCCTCTGGCGTGATGAACATCAGTTCCTGTCGCTTCGGCTCACCTGTGTTCATGTCCTATCCGCATTTCTACAATGCCGATCCGTACTATGTGGAGCAGGTGGAGGGACTGCAGCCGAACAAGGAACAGCACGAGTTCTATATGGTCGTGGAGCCGAGCACAGGCATTCCGCTCGAGGTGGCGGCACGCTTTCAAGTCAACATGCTGGTCGAGCCCATTGACGGCATTCAATTGTATACAGACATTCCACGCATATTCTTTCCACTCATCTGGTTCGAGCAGAAGGTCACAATTACACCCGAACTGGCCGATCAGCTCAAGCTGTTGCCCGTGCTGCTGTTGGCTGGCCAAATCTTTGCTGGCATCTGCCTGGCTGTCGGTCTCATTCTGCTGCTCTGGATGCCCATGCAGCAGCTGCTCAGCTGGTGCCAGTCGCGTCAGTACGACGTGAAGACGCAGCAGAAGAGCAACGGACAGTACAAGAGTCGCTCTCAGTTCTCCAGCGCCGAGGAGCTCAAGTCGAAGGCCTCCACGCTGGTGTGCGAGAAAAGTGCTGGAGAGTCACCAGACAGCTCCCCGTTGCTCGAACGCAATATCAAGCCCGCCGTTGTGATAACCAAGTCGCAGACCGGTGACAATGAATCCACAGCCATAAATAAGGGCACAGACAGCAAACAGGACTAAAGCAATTCAACTGGAACAACTAGCCGTCCTAGTGCTTTAAATAGTTTATAGTCAATTAGTTTAGGAAAAACATTTTGATATACATACATATATGTGCGTACATACACATATATACATACGTATATACAACTTCCGACTCCGGAATACATTCATAGCTGGCAATGCCAAAGATTATATAGCTGGGAGAAGAAATTAACGAAATCATAACTTACGAATACTCTATATACATATAAACATATATTAATAAGTTTATGTTGGTATTTGAAATTTTAGGGTAATGAAGATGACAAAAAATTTTAAATGTTAAAGCTGATTATCAAATTAAAGATTTTATATGCATATACAAACATAAACATGTGTGATTTTTTTATATTATTTGTATTGGCGGAAATAATAAAAATAATTCATATATATAGATCAATTCAATGAATGGTAAAAGGACTTGAAATTGAATGTATCGCATAGGTGTTTAAAATCTTCAATGTGTCTCAAACTGCAACTGGAATCTAAGCTGCATCCATACAATTCATTTAAAACCTGTTGCCAAACACTCGACAGGGCTTGATGATATAAAAAGCTTTCATCTGTGAATCTCAAACTGTACCCAAGATCAAATAAATTTTGTCGTAAACACTGCTTACAAAATACACTGCTTATGTGTAGTGAGTGACTCATGCAAATTTAATTCCCATACGCTTCGCACTGCTTGCAAGCGTCTCAGTAGCTCCCAAACTGTAGGTCTGCCTGCTCAAGCCTGAAAATTTATCGATGGAAATGATATTCAGAAATCATTTTAATAATTACAATAATTACGGTACATTTAATGGGTAACAAAATTTTGATTTTTATTTCGTCAACTTCAGCAATCATTACAATAAACGTATACAAACATACATACATATGCACATAAGACAGATATACTTAAGCTATATAGTACAATAAACCTTAGCAAAAAAAAAACCCTAGTTAGGCTTCCGTTGTTCTGTGCGAATACTCTAGAGAAAATAACTACAAATTACAAAAGTACAACAATATTTGCAATATCACAAATGACCCAACTTATTGATATAAAATACGATACAAACAAAAATGAGGTATGACAGAGATATTAAAATTATTTCTTTGACATCTTGTAGCCCTCATCATAGCCATAACTGTCGGCCTCTGTGAAAAGAGAATATGATATTATATTTTTGAGTTGTAAAGTATTTGTAATGTGGGTACTTACGTTCATAGTCCTTCGAGTAGCAGTCAAAGAACTCGCCGAGCAGCGGGCCGGGCGGCAGCTCCCATGTGGCAGTGCCTCCATATTTGGGCGGCAAGACACTGGCATCAATGTGCGACGTTAACGCCTTCCAGTCCTTGCCATGGAAGAAGATCTGCAATAAAGAGAGAAGCAGATAAGTTGAAATATATTCAATTGATATAAAATATATTGAAATAAATAAATTTAATACTTACGCGCTTGCGCAGCTTCTCGCGAATGAAGGGCTTGAAAATGGCAAAGAGCATATTGAAGATGTACGAATTGTTGACAATGTGAACGGCCTTCAGGCGCATGCAAATGCACTCCTGAACGTAATCCAACAGCATGGCGGCAAACGATGGCGTGAACTGAGTTATGTGGCTCAACGGCAGACCTGCAGCAATAGAGACGTTAAAATGTGTTAATGGGTCGTTAACCGGTGTGAACTAATGCAATGCATTATGCATATTATGCGCCGTTAACACAATAAACTCGCGCTTTATTACCTTCCATATCAATTATGACAACGGCACCACAAATTTGTGAAAATGGCTCCACCATGGAGCCCAGCACGGTGAGCTGTATGCCGCGAAACAGATCCACAAGCGGCACCTTCGATGGCTTCCACTTTTCTAGAAGAGTACACAGAGTTCAGATATACATATATCCACACATATCTGTCTCATGCTATATATTATACTTACTGCCCGCTTCCAGCACGAGTATCCGACGACCATGCTGATCTCGATTGGGCAGCAGATTTAAGATCTCGCTCTCGAACACGTTCTTCAGCTTCGATGGCACAATGTTCTCACAGGCGATGCCATACTTGGACTTCATGTTGTAGAAGTTCTTAAGCTGCCGAAAATGAACAATAATAATTATTAAACAAATATTCATATATGTATATAATGAGTGCAAAACTTACTCTCTTCAGCGCGCTCTCGGGATAATAATGGCAAGGACGCAAAAACATCATCATATACTCATCATCCAGTGGCAAGGTCAGGTGCTTCTCATCTGTGAATCGTGAAGGTAAATAAACTGCAACTACTCCCATGCTTATCTAATCTAATCACTTTGTATCAGCTCTCTCAGCTCCTTGATGGCCTGCTCCTTAATGCCGGGCAGCTCGCGCAGCTCGTCTTGTGCCTTTTGTAGGGCCCAGTCGGGCGCCTGCTCCTTTTCCATGCGTATCCGCGCACTGCCCAGATCAATGTATGGCACATGGTTGTCATCGTAGCTAATGCATTCCGCTTTGCCCATCTTTGCTAGTTGGTGCTGCGAACGAGAATAAAAGTTCATTTGGTATAGTCGATGATTTTTGTAGCCGTACAGCTACCGCCGCAACTGGGTTATTTCCGCCCCTTCGTAGCGGTTCAATGCCTTGGCCCAATGCTCGAAAAAACATGACTCAATGCTGATCTTCATTAACAAGCCCACAACGGAAGACGTTGCCGTAAAACAAAAAAAGCAAAAATAAATACACACCAATACAGACACCGAAAACAGCGGCCGGGGACGCTAGGGCGGCAAATAGACAACGTTACCAAAACTGGTCACACAACGTCACTAGACACACGTCGCACGCCGAAAAACCACTAAGGTTTTCATTAACACACTAACAGCCGAGGTGCTTAAGATATGCCATGAGGTTTGACCAGCACTGTAGTAGTTGAATGCCAAAGTTTCATTTGCTTTAGCTACAGTGCGTCTGAAACTGTTTCGAAAGAATTTGCTGACATGAGCTACAAATATTAATTCTTAACTCCATTTGTTGTGCTTATATATGGGAAAAAGTATAAATATATAAAAAAAAAACACTAAATAAATAAATAAATTCAAAAAATGACACAATAAATTAAAGAGATCATAGATATAGTGAATTATAATGCAATACTATATAAATTGAGATCAAAATATAAAGTTCATTTATTCTTTGTTCAAGCACGAGCGCTTGTATATGTGAATAAATGGATAATCTAGACTATAGAGCATATGTATATGTATAATTCTATATACATAGATTTTATACAATGAAGTCTTATCAAGCCAAGCGTAACTCTCATTTCTGCTGCTTCACTAACTTCCGCATTGAATATACTACATATATTTGTATAGAGTATTCAAGCTTCGATTTGTACACAAAACTTTTTATGCCGACTTTATGTTTCTGTTAGTTTGGGCTACACGTAGAAGACTCGGCAACGACTTGGCTAGCAAACTGAAAAAAGCGGCTCAAACTTGACAGAGCATGACGTAGCGACTTATGCTCCACACTTGACCCAAAGCAGAGCGCACAAAATAATAAAAGAGAGTAATAGCGAGCAAAACTCAGATATACAGAGAGCGAGAGAGAGGGAGGGTGTTTATGTGTGTGAGTGAGAAGGCGCCCATCAAACTGATCGAAAAGCCGTTTTACGACTCGGCCAACGGAGCAATTAGTAAATCTATTTGAATGCGACATTTTCAAGGTAAAAGTCAAGGCCAGAGCCTAGCTAAAGCCGCTTCACTGTCAATTTGAAAAATGATTGAAATCAATAGAAACCGTTGATATTTGCGTTTCTGGTTTAACCATTCAGACAACGTGAGTATTTCGTACACTCAAAAAATTGAAAACTTTGGTAATTCAATTTTTGTTTTATCTTACTTTTTTGGTATTTCCGTTTCTCTCTCTCACTCTCTCCTTTACTCTCAGTGTTTTCTATTTATAGGCTTTGTATTTGAGCTTACTTTGATGCGGGTTCATCGATCCATAAATTTATGCGCATAAATTTCGACTTCAGACCTTCTGCACAACAATGTAAAGCAAAGTAAATTTCAGTACTTAAACATAGAAACAACCTATAATACATAAAGCTAAGACAGTAATGCAGCGTGTAGCTAATTTGAGTCGTGGATCGTGACAGAAATGTGTTTACCAATTAGCCGCATGCAAAGTGTCACGTAAATTACAGAAGCTTGGCAACAAAATTAAACTTAATGATGCCCCACTATGAAACATCAAATTTATCGTCAATTATATAAAGGGCGAACCGATTTACAAGTATTAAGTTGTCAATATATTGTGATTATAATTAGCCCATAAGTAATACATATACACATATCTAATATAGATATTCAGTGATAGCTTGTCAAAAGTTCCCTAAATCTCAAATAAATTCTTTTAGATAACAATTTTAGCTTGACAGCAAAACTAAATTCCCTTGGCATATAAAGAGTTGTTGAGTCTTTGATCTAGCTGATCATAAAATATTTATTTCAATAGATTTCGCAAGAGATTGTGTTTTTTATTATGTGCTTTCAATCGATGCATAAACAAAGCGTTCCTCAACAAAACATTTCTACAGCATATCAGATAAAAACTTTAAATTTTGTTATATTTTTTATCGACTTCCCTGTGCATAAAAGTCGATGAAAAGAAGCCGCTGCTAACAGAGCATCAAGGTAAACAAAAAGTTTATGAGACAGTTTTGCACAAAGAAAACGAGAACAAAGATGCTAATCGATAATAAGGAAGGAGACTATGGAAATCAAGGAATATAGAATATAACTTTGAACATATAACATTATATATATAATTAATATAAAAAATCACCTATTGAATTGACTTTTTAATTAACCCTTTTAGTATTTTATTTCTTTGTTTTCTTATTTAGTATGTCGTTAACTTGTTTATCGAATCCTTATGAAAAACCAGTCAGTCGTCCTTCAATATACTTTTTAAAAGTGAAAGTTTATTCGCCCTTTGGCATTCAGTCTGATTCGTCTCGCTCAAGGCTGGGATACATACATATATATACGAAGTACAGTTCTTTTTTCGTTTACTGAGATAAACAAATAAATAATAAAACCACTCTCAGTCAAGGTCTACAGGTAATCAGCTTACTTTATTTATACTTAACGACTCAAATTACTCGACATTTCTGTACGTCAATAAAGCGAATAATTTAACGACAATTTATGCAGTATATTCCTGTTGCAATTATCACTGACCTTGCTTGCTATAATTTCTTGTTGAACTGCAGAGCAAATGAGATGTATCACAGTCGACGGCTGCTCGGAAACTGTCTGGACTAAAGTTTGTATAAAACTGCAAGTAAATATAAGCGACTAGTTAACTGTCCGGCTGGCTGGCTGTCTATCAATTGTTGTATTCGTTTAATCACTCAGTCGCAATTATTGGGCATTATTTGTATGCTGATAACTGGTATCGGTTACTCTTTTCTTTAAATATACACACACAGAGATTTATGCGCTCCAGCCGAATGCAAAAGTCATAAAAGAAATTAGAGATGAGCGAGTGAGTGGAGCACAAATCCATTGAAACCGGTTGCATTCTTAAGCAAATTTATTTATGATATTCAAATATAATCCACAATTAAACGGCAACTTGATTATATACAGCTTTAATTAAATCAATTAGAAATCCGAAGCAAACCAAATAGATGTAATACAGAAAACATGGAAAATTCTAGCATTTTTATGATTATACCCTGAGCACATGGAAAATGCGCAGCTCAATCGCGTCAATCTTTATATATACTATATACAGATATACTATATATACTTCATTTCGCTTGCTCAACAATTTTTTTATGCGTTTAACTTACTCATAGAGTCACCTATAACCACAACCTATTCAAGAGGGAACTTTATGAACTACCACTTAAAGTAGTTGGCGAATTTTGCAATGTAATAGTCATGTTGGTGTCTTACCAAAAACATTTGGCCTTGAATACACTAAAAGCAAGCAACAGTTACTATTTTTTTTAACTACACGAACCCAAAAGAAAGGCATGTAAATAAAGGTGCAAATTAAATCATATTTGACTACAACAAAATTACATTTTTTTTTTTGGGTAAATTGAAATGGCAATGAAGTTGAATCTGTTTTCAAGGACTTACACAACACGCTCACGCTGATTCACGCACCCATCTCTAGTCAAGTGTTGATTATCGTAGTTTCCAGTGGGTATTTAAATGCCTTATGTATACACACATTGTATACTTAATCTGGTTTTGTATATAACATAAAAATATATATGTCATGTGTACATAATATTTGGATTGAAAGTGCAATTGTTCAAGCGATTATCTTCTAAGCACACAATAGCTCTTAAGTACCCGCAAGAAAGTTGAATTCAGTAGTTGCTTGATTAACGCTAGAAAAACAATAAAAACAGAAAATGGCAATTTGCTTGAAAATACCCATAAAATTCCGAACTGCACTCAAGTCATAATGAAGAAAAAGAAAATAAATATCTATATCTATATTATATTTAGATATAGATATAGCGTGATATGCATAAATGAATCCGGCCAAGCACTTGAATTGATCAGGCAGCCAACCATTAAATGCAAATTACTGTTTTTTTACACAATTTTTATAGACCTCATAGGAGTAACTGTTTTCTAACCAGCAAAAAAAAGAAAACAAATATAGTGAAAAAGTGAAAAAATATTCACATCCACTTGCCAATGACTTGACAATAATAAATAAGCTTCAGCTAGTCGAGCTCCGCCTTTATAATGACTATTCACAAACTGGTAACGAGCTAATTGCAAGAGTCGTGAAAACAATTTCGTAATACTGTAAACTAAAGATTCTGATGACAGCCGAGTAGAATAACCTGTATCGATGGCAGTCTGTATGTGTGTAGGCACATTAGAAATATAACACACAGATCGAATTTATACTCGTTTAGGAAGTATAAAGAGTATGTTTTGTTGAATATAGACTTGACATTTTTATTATATATTTTTTGGTGCCCTCTTCTTATAATGTGCTTCTGATAGATCAGGAAGCACTCTAGCGTGAGATGTAGACTAGATTAGAGAAATAGAGTTTGGCTTACTCTTGATCTCCTCTATTGATCAACGAATAACTAAGTTTGAGCTCCTATCATTATGCGCCTACGCCTCTTGTTGTTGTTTTTTTAATATTTTTAAGCCGGACTTCTACAGCATATTTTATTAATTTATTTATTTTCGTCATATTATTCTACTGTGTACTTGTTTTTAAAACCCATACTAAATACAATTCAACAGGTTTTCAGCAGAAAACAAGTATTATGCAGTCATTGATGACCGGGCGCACCATTTTTACTTGTTGTCTACTGAACTTAGCACTTCCAGCAATTACTCACAATTACCTTCGGGCAGAAATGACAGTGCTAAATGCAAATTGAGCTCATTATATGTTGGGCTTTATCCCCGCTGAACTCTGAATTTGCTTGCAGTAGCCGATACAACAATAAGATAGAGCGAAGTGGCAAAATTGTTTTGGTTTACATATAAGAGTATATATAATAGCAATTTACAATGAACAATAGGATTTTGTTATTGTATAGATTATACGAATACGTTACTATTTTATTATCCTTCTAAAACGAAGCCATAGAATTGTTTTTAAATCAATGGCAGTTCTATATAATTCAAACAATGATCTCACCCAACAAACAGCCAAATAACAGCCTTTAATAATATTTCTCAATTCTTTTTAATGAAGATTAGCAATAAAAACAAAAAGATATTTAGTATATTATTATCTGTCCAGCTATCTAAATAACTTAAATAACAATAATAATGATGACAATAATTATTTCCTTCATTATTTAAACATTTGTTTATTTTATGTTCTAATATATTTTGTATCCAACATTTATAGAGCTCCTCTATAACATTGACATGCCCTCATCAAATTCACAAATTGACTTTGTGTAATTAGCATTATTATTTAAATGCTTTTTAGACTTTCAGACAAAGACTTTTTTTTGAGGAGTTGAAAGGAAATGCCTAGTATTCAACTATTAGAAAATAATGAAAGATAATTTAATATAACCAGTCATGCTAGCTTTATATATATCAAGTAATTTCTAAGAATGAATCCAATAAAAGCATTAAAAACAACACTCTTCATAAAATTATCACGTCCGAAATCAAAAAAAAAAAATAAAAAAAAAAAAATAAGAATAGCAAGGTTAGAGCAAACTGTTTTGACAGCAACAACAAAAATTTGACCATGGGGGTTCGGTGTTTGTTATATATATTAAATACAAAATATTTATTTTTCAGCTAAACTTCAGAAGTTTTCAACGCGCTCAAAAAAAAAAGATTAGGCCCAGCTCATGCTGACGTTGCAAATACTTTAGATAGATGGCAAGATTAATGCAAGTCAGATTAATACAAGATATATGACACGTTATCTGATATTAACAGAAGCTTTGAACTATAAAGTTTAGGGATATGGAAAAGTACATTAAATCAAATAATAATTTCTTTTATGTATAATATTTCTTCCTTGCTCTCTATCTATATCCTCGTAGTTCTTACAATCTATATAGCCTGCTTACCTAAAGTTCATTTCCGTAAATAATTTGACCGAATAACTCTGATTTTTTCATTTATAAACTTGCAATTATTCTAACGCTAGTCACAAGTAGCTGCCATTTAAATTTGCTTAAAGATTTGCATAGAAACGTTATGTCGTAAACCAAATATTTTACCGGCCAAGAAACGGTGCTCTAGAACCAAGCAAAGCCGGTTTTGATGCCAATCATTGGTAACGACATATGCATATATCATTATATAGCATGTATTAAGTTTGCCTTCAGTTCAAGATCGGATAAATACACGCGAATCTGTGATTCGCATATAGGCAAATGCCAGAAGAAAAAAAACAGTCAATAACGGCTTTGGTTGGTTTTTATGTTTTGTGTCTCTTTTGCAGCCTACACTTGACGATTTAAATACATAGGCAGTTAGTTGAACACATGTACACAGACGAAATCTTAGCGACTGTTAAAGATGTTTAACTGGTTTTTCAGTTTTATTTGGCAGACTTTTATTATGCTCCTCAGAAACTGACTGCATCTTGGCTTATTCGGCATACAAAGTCGCCGAGTCATCAAGGCCATCGATTTTCAGCAGTTGATATTTTATTGAAAGAGCCTAAAATTGTTAAGACAAATACAAATTGAAGCACAATCGGAATCGGATAGAGTCTCAGTGTAAGATCGCAACGTTTTGGTGTCAAATGCCTGACCGTTTGACTGGCATAATACACATATATGTATATAAGGCCAACGTACGCAAATGCCATGAATCAGCAATAGCATAGAAGGTATGTTTGTATATCGTACCATTGCGAATGCGAATACTCGGGCAAACTGCAAATTGTATGCAATCAAATGCCATGCGTATCGGGCTCAACAACCTTCAATTAACACACTGACAGAGGGACAACTCAAAGTTAATGCCCATTGAACATATGCTACAATAACAATGAGCTCAACTCCGTTTATATGTATACGATATACCAGAGAATATAAAAAGCCAGCGGCAGATACAAATTCAATACAAATACAGATACAGATACAGATACAGATACAGATACAGATACAGATACAG